GGGGGGGGGAGGTTAAGACTAGGCAGGATTTCTACTTTACGTTTTGTTCTACAAGTATTTATTGAGTGCCTGTTTTGTGTAAAGCACTATTCTAGAGCCTTACTACACCTATTGTTCTCACGCATAGAGACATCTCTCTTAGCCCCTGTCCACCCCCTTGAGAATCTTCCCTGATGCTGTTTAGTCTTTAAGATGATGTCCCAAGTTCTTAGAATTGCATGAAGGACTCTTGTAGAGCTGACCCCTGCCCATCTTTCTTCTTTGTAAAAAAATGTTGTATGATATATATGCATAAAATTTAACATTTTAACCCTTTTTAGGTGTACAGTTCAGTGGCATTAAGTACATTCACATTGTTGTGCAGCTAGCACCACCATCCATCTCCAGAAGTTTTTCATCTTCCTAAACTAAAACTGTACCCATTAAACACTAGCTCCCCATTTGCCCTCTCCCTGGCAGCTACCATTCTACTTTCTGTCTTTATGAATTTGACTACTCTAAGTACCTCATATAAGCAGAATCATACAGTATTTGTCATTTTGTGACTGGCTTATTTCACCTAGCATAATGTGTTTAGGGTTCATCCTTGTAGTATGTGTTAGAATTGCATTCCTTTTTAAGGCTGAATATTAGTCCATCGTGTATATACGTACTACGTTTTGTTTATCTGTTCATCTTTTTTTTTTTTAAAATATGTCTTTATTGATTTTAGAGAGAGGAAGGGAGAGGGAGAGAGAAAGAAACATCAATGATGAGAGAGTCATTGATTGGCTGCCTTCTGCACGCCCCCTACTGGGAATCGAGCCTGCAACCTGGGCATGTGCCCTGACTGGGGATGGAACTGCAATCCCCTGGATCCTAGGTCGATGCTAAACTGCTGAGCCTTGCAGGCTGGGCTGTTCATCTTTCAATGGACATATGGATTGTTTCCACCTTTTGGCTGTTGTGAGTAATGCTGGTGTTCAAATATCTGTGCAAGTTTCCGTTTTCAGTTATTTTGGGTAAATACCCAGAAGTGGAATTGCTGGATCATATGGTAATTCCATATTTAATTTTTTTGAGAAACTACCATTCTGTTTTTCACAGCAGCTGCACCATTTACATTCTCACCAGCATTGCACAAGAGATGCAATTTCTCCAGATTCTCCAATGCTTGTCATATTAGGTTGTTGCTTTGATAATAGCCATCCTAATAGGTGCAAGGTGGTACTATCATTATGGTTTTGATTTAAATTTTTCCTAATGATTCGTGGTGTTAAACATTATTTCATGTGCTTATTGGTCATTTGTATCTCATCTTTAGAAAAATGTCTCTTCAGGTCCTTTGGCCATTTTTAAATTGGGCACCAGGAGCTGTCCCCAGGGAAAAGGTACCCTCTGTAGGCCCATAGCAGGAGTGAGGGGCTGTTTGTTTTGTTGTTGTTGAGTTAGGAGTACTTTATATATTCTGGATACTAACTCCTTACTCGATATATGGTTTTCAGATGTTGTCTTCCATTTTGTGGGATTCTTGTCTATTTTTCTTGCAGATTCACTTCCATTCTTCCTTTGTACCCCATCCCATTTCACCTCATGTTGGAGCAACATGCAACTAATCTCAGTTGCTCAGAGGCTGTGTTTTATATTCCTCTATGAATTGTTTGTAATTTCTCCTTAGCTGAGGGGGAAGTTGAAATGTGTCTTTGGGGCATGCCAGCAGCTATAAATAAGACCTGTTATCTCAGGTTCCTTCACCAAGCCTACACCAAACACTGTCACAAGAAGTTATTGCTGCAGTCTAGACATGGGTGAACTTCTGCCCCATAAGGGTGGCTGTTCATTCAGGGGTGGGGAACCTTTTTTTGCCAAGCGCCATTTGGATATTTATAACATAATCTGTGGGCCATACAAAATTATCAACTTAAAAATTAGCCTGCTGTATTTGGTCAAACATTTAATGGGATGGCTGAAACTGCTTCTCTTTGGTGAGGCCTTGGCATGGCCAGACCAAATGATTTCACTGGCCATATGAGTCCTGTGGGCCTGACGTTCCCCGTCCCTGCTTATTGTAGATGAAAGAGGATTGGGTTTGACCTTGGACTTGTGACATATCCTGTGCTGCTGCTTACAGGCTGTATAAATCTTTCTAAACGCAAGCCAGTTAGCTTTCTTAAACCTCTTTCCCCTTGGTTGTGGGGATTGTTAGCCAGGTTCAAATTATCTTAGCCGAGCACAGCCCCCGGCTCCGCCTGGTGTCTGGGCTTGTGCTGAAGGTAAGGAAGTGCTGGAAGGAAGTCCTGGTCTGTGTAGGCAAGGTGCTGCTCCACGACCGTTAGAGGCTGTGCCATCGGAAGCCCTGATTTGAGGACCTGAGTGGAAAGACTCCCGAGGAGAAAAGGAGTTTGATTAGGAGTGGGCCGCGCCCCTGTACTTCAGATGATAACCATCTTGCAATGTTTCGGACGTTTCCGTCCAGCCAGAAGCAAGGGAGGGGTACACCATCCCACTAGCTGAGCAGCTGGCTGGTCCCCTGGGCACCTTGGCCTGAGGCCCTTGAGAAACCCTAATGTCAGGAATCCTCTAGCCAGCAAAGCCTTGGAAGGTCCTGGGAGGGGATCTCAGTCTAATACTAGGGTGGGGTGTGTGCTTGGGTAAGGACACCCCAGTCCCTGGTGTTGACTTACAATTTTCCTGAGAGTTCTTGCTTTTTTTCCCTTTAAGCTGGTCACAGGACACATGGAGGAGAGAATCTTGTTCATTTAGCAGACAATCTAGGACTTTCTTTAGCCAAAGGTATCTGAGGAGGGGGGGCGCAAAGGCTCTCCGCCCCAGCACCCGCTCTGCGTGGGGTGCAGGAGGCGCACTGCGCAGGCGCCCCAGGACTGGCGCCGCCGAGGGCGCAGCGGGGTCTCCACGGGCGGTGTGCACTGCGCAGGCGCCCCAGGACTGTCCGGGCGGAGGGCGGGGTGAGCGCCCCAGCGGGCCACGCTCTCTGCGCAGGCGCCTGAGGCCTGCCGCTGCGAAAACGGGCTCCGTTATCCTCAATAGGTTTACTTTATTTGATGAATACTTTGTAACTACTCTCCCACCGGCACCCCCTCTCCAGGGTTGATGCCCCTTGGGCGCTGATACCGTGTTTGGCTCTGTACCTTCCTTTTATAACATATGCACCCCTCTCCCTGCTCTGTCTCCTACTCCAAAGGCAGGCTGCCCTTTCTTGGGGACCCCCATATCACTAGGCTTGACTCTGACCCCCGTCCCCCGCCCCTTCCCTCCTTGCCAGGGTGTCCCTTTGCAGGAATGCCCTCCTCGCTGTGCTTGGGCTCGGAGTCCTCTGCGCTGGCACTCTGCCCCCCCATCCTGCTCTGCCTACCCAGTTTAGGACTGAATTCTCCAGGGAGGGAAGAGAACGGGTCCTTGTACCTGAATGACAGCTCTGGGGACAGGAATAGTTTTTATTTTATAATTACAATTTTACAGTTATAGTGCAAGATACATGTGTTTGTATCATAACAATTCATTGGCATGCCTTCAAAAGGAAAAATATAATGTGAATGGCGATTTAAACCGGAGAGAGGTTTTATTTTTGTGGTTGTGGGGAGCAGGACCAGGACAAGGCAGCAGAAGCTGGCTATCTAGGTAAAGGGCAGCCTGCCCAGGCGAGAGAGGCAGCAGGTAGGATGGTGGAGGAGGTGAGGGAGAATTGTACCCCAGGTGGAAAGGCACTGACCCCAACTGTCCACTTTACCAGATGTCCAGGGTGCTGCAGAAGGATGCAGAGCAGGAGTCTCAGATGAGAGCAGAGATCCAGGACATGAAGCAAGAGCTCTCCACTGTCAACATGATGGACGAGTTCGCCAGATACGCCAGGCTGGAAAGAAAGATCAACAAGATGACAGATAAGCTCAAAACTCATGGTGCAGTTTTGTTTTTTTAGTTTTTATAAGAGTTTATTTGAGCCAAACTGATGACATTCCTGGGAGCAAGACCTCATATGCTTCCTTCATGGTACTGTTTTCATTTGTAGCTTGGAAAGCTTCATAAGAGCTGCTCATAGAGAAATCTTTATATAAAGATTATGGAATATATGTACTGATTCTTGGATGTTCTAAATGTTGATATAAACTTAAGTTGTCTAGAAGAAACCCAATAATAATTATTACTTTCTCATTATTTGCTGGTGAACCTTTGCTTTCTAAACACAGAAACATCCAGGCTACTCTTAGAGTTTCTTCAAAGCTAACTTGTTAGTTAGGTTGTCATTTTCAAATTCAACACTTTTCTGAGAGAAAGCCTAGAAAAAAATCTCAAAGTGGATTCTCAGGGGCTTTTTTAATTCCGCTCTTCAGAAAGTGCCCGGCAGTGTCTTTATCCGAGTGCAGACTCAGGCTAGGGCTCAGGTCTTACTCATCTTTGTGTTTGCCACTGTGCTAACAGCCTGCTGTGCAGAAGATGATTTGCACAGGGCAGCCTGTGTGCTGAGAGCATGCACAGTGAGAGAGCTGTCTCCATGGCTCATGAAACAGGCAGAGGGGCCTGCCCAGGCCAGGCACAGGGCAAACTAGACTCCCTTGTGGATCAGTGCATAGTGTAGACTGAGAAACAGGGAAGAACATTTAGTCCTGTTGGTAAGTGTATGGTGAAAAGAAACTCTGATTTTGATGAATAGCTTTAGGGTTTTTCAAAATTAAAGCTTCACATCTCACAATCTGTGTGTGATCCTATTTGAAATAATAGCACAGTGGGTGACTTAAGACATTCTATTTTATATGTACATGCATCCTTAGAAAATATTTTGTGAGAGGAAATAGCATTTCTGTGTACTTGAATATTTTCTTCCCTTTCTAGGACTGATATAATCATTTCATCCTGGTTTTCCTTTCAGTGAAAGCACGGACGGCTCAGTTGGCCAAGATAAAATGGGTTATAAGTGTTGCTTTCTACATATTGCAAGTAAGTGTCCTATTGTGTCACTGGGGTCATTAAAGTTGGTAAGTGTCTAGAACCGTCCGGCCCCTGGAATCCAGGTGTGGAGATTCAGGTTTTTCCACCTTCAGCTGCTGTGCTGTGTGGTCCTGCCAGCGTGTAACTCTGAACACTCTGAATTTATAAGTTAGACTTAAAGAAAGCCTTTCTCTTGATTAGAATTGTTAAATGTTGGGATTTTTAAGCAAATGAACACTGAAACAACTTCTCTGGAGTTCTTTATGTGGCCTTCACTCGAGTGCAGTTTTGGGAGGCTGGGGGAAGAAGTGAGAGCAGCTTACTTACTAGTTGTGTTTTCTGAGATGGTCAGTGATTTTGGCCATTGCTTCTTACATGGTATGAGGACGTGTGACCATCTGCTCTCCAGGTAGGGAACCTGTTATTCTCATTAAAGTCCAATATCACTGACGCACAGCTTTCTTATGGGGGGATTTTTAACTTTTTTTATTGTGTTTTTTTAATGCTTAAAATGTGTGCATTTTCTTGTATTGTTTTACCTGTTTACTGCTGCTTTACCCTGAGGTTGTGGGTCTGCCGTGGCTGCTTTAAGTCATCTCTGAGTTTCAGTGCTATTAGTGATTTTTACTGGGGTAAAGGACTCAAGCCCCCCAAAACCCAGGCTGTTTGAGTATAGTAAGTACATTGATCCTGAGGCACTGTCACTTTGATATGAGATAGGATTTTCCAGGGACTGAAATTAGGCCAGAGACCCTCTTTAAATTTTTTTTAAAAAATTCATTGATTTTGGAGAGAGAGAGATTTGTTGTTCCACTTATTTATGCTCTCATTGGTAGCTTCTTGTATGTGCCATGACCAGAGATCAAACCCACAACCTTGGCGTATAGGGATGATGCTCTATCCAACAGAGCCCCTGGCCAGGGCCGGAGGCCCTCTTTTAGGTCTCCTCATTTGAGCAGCATATTCAGGGCCACAGAGGGAACAGAAGACAACTTGAGGGAGTGCTGTTAAGGAAAGGAGGGAAGAGAAAGCATCATCCCTCTGCCCACCATTTAAACTTACAGTCCAGTGGACATGGCTCATTGGTTGAGCATTGACCTATGAACCAGGAAGTCGTGGTTCAATTCCCGGTCAGAGCACATGCCCAGGTTGTGGGCTTGATCCCCAGTAGGGGGCGTGCAGGAGGTAGCCAATCAATGATTGTCTCATCATTGATGTTTATCTCTCTCTCCCTCTCTCTGAAATCCATAAAAATGTATTTAAATAAAATAAAATAAAATAAAATGTCCGTAGGAGGCTTAAAAAAAAAGTAACCTTACAGAAGTCCCACTTCTGCACATGGCTGCCAGTACTTGAGTGTGGATGGGAGAATTAACTAGTTTTTCAAGGATCTTAGAGATGTATGATCGCTTCTGTCCCTAATAAGGTGTATTTAGTAGCATAGTCTGGCTGCTTATAGGAGATATTCAATGAGAAAAGAACACTTGTGTTACAGGAGATCTTGGTTAATTTATCAGCTAATTTAATAGTTTTATACAGTTGACTCTTGAACAACATGGGTTCGAATTGTGCAGGCCCACATATATGTGGATTTTTTTCAATAAATATGTTGGAAAATGTTTTGGAGATTTGTGACAATTTGACAAAACTCGAAGATGAACCATGTAGCCTAGAAATATCAAAAATATTAAGAAAAAGGTATGTCATGAATGCATAAAATATATGTATTTTCTCTTATGATTTTCTTAACATTTTTTTCTCTAGCTTCCTTTATTTAAGAATACAGTATATGATACATATAACATAAAATATGTGTTAATTGACTGTTGATGTTAGCTATAAGGCTTCCAGTCATTAGTAGTTATGTTTTGGGGGAGTCAAAAGCTACACTGGGATTTTTGACTGTGTGTGGGGTTGGTGCCCCTAACCTGTGTTGTTCAAGGGTCAACTTTATATCTTATCAGTGGCTGTCAGCTGCAGGGACTGGATTGATAGGGCTTAAGGTCACCGATGTGGAGTGTTCTTAGTCTGTTTTCAGATTTCCCCCTGTTCCTGTGGTGATTGGCTGCATGACTGGTGGGTTGGGGCACTCACCAGCGGTGTCTCTGCAGGCTGCCCTGATGGTCTCCCTCATTTGGAAGTACTATTCTGTTCCTGTGGCTGTGGTGCCGAGTAAATGGATAACCCCGCTAGACCGCCTGGTAGCATTTCCCACTAGAGTGGCAGGTAGGAGTTTCTGGGAAACACAGTGGGAGAATATGACGACACTTAGGAGGAGGTGTGCGGTAGAAGGTTAAGTCAGCCTGACATCGTCTGCCTCGTCCATTTCACCGGGGAGCCAGGCTTTGTGTCTCAGCCTCGTGAGGCTGACAGTGAGGAGCCGGAGACCCAGGGAAGTTAGTTAACTCGTCTGCTGTCACCAAAATACTATGTAGCAGAGCTGGACTTCAACCAGGTCTGCTTCTGGACTCTAGGCCCGATACCTGCAGTCCGATAGCCTGCTTGTTCAAACACCACTTCTAGTTCCCAAACTCTGCGACCTCTGTTCAGTTCTGTGCATAGCGAGAGCATTTATGGCTCTTTGCCATTCTTTTATTTTTGAAACATAATTTATTTTGGATGTTAAAAGTAGTACATCATTGTAGAACGACTACAAAAATAAGAAAAGGACAAAAAAAACCTCATTAGCTGTGGATAATCCCTCTTAAATTGTGGCATGTTTTTCCCAGTCATTTTTTTCTATTTCTTTTTATACAGGGGTGGGCAAAAGTAAGTTTACAGTTGTGAGTATGCAACACACAGAGTTTATTCTTGTATTACATATTTTTCCATACAAACAACTGTAGATCTATTTTGCCCACCTTTGTATAGTTAAGGTTGCCCAATTTTTGTTCCTTTTTACTTTATATTGTAAGCCTTCTCCCATACCAATAAACTTTTTTTAAAAAAAATGTCTTTATTGACTTCAGAGAGAGTAAGGAAGAGGGAGAGAGAGAGATAGAAACATCAGTGATGGAGAGAGAGTCATTGATTGTCTGCCTCCTACATGTCCCCCACCGAGGGTTGAGCCCCAAACCCGGGTATGTGCCCTGACCGGGAATTGAACCACATTCTCCTGGATCATAGGTCGATGCTCAACTGCTGAGCCATGCTGGCCGGGCTAAACTTTTCTTTATTAAGGAATTTTGAATAGCTGTTCTTCATTTGGCTGTGTCATAATTTACTAATTTTTCTGTTAAAAGATATTTATTTAGGTCCAAATATTTTCCTATCAAGAATAACGTTATAACACATGTCCTTGTCAGTCAGTCTTCGGTTGTGATTTGTAATAATGCTAGAGGTGAATTACTAAATTAAAAGTAATGACTGTTTCAACTTAGCCGTGCCCCCTCCCCTTCCCCCACCCTCTATGGGGGACTCAGCCATGAGGGCAGTGCTGGTGCAAGAGGCCATCCTCCTAGGCAGCCAGCAGGCCACTGGTCACTCTTGCTACCTGTCTTCCTATTTCTCATTTACCAGTGGACAAGAAAGGTGTGGGTAAACATTCCTTCACTTACAAAGCTTTGTTGAGAAGGGAAAACCAAATAGTTTCACAGAATGGTCTTACAGTCTGTTAGGATCATAAATAATACAGCCTGTTTCTCTGGCAGGGAAGAGGGATTCAAACCAGAGCTCCCTGCCCTGTGTAATTCCTGCTTAGTAAAGAAGGCAGCCCTGCGAATGACTAGAAAGCCTGATGAATTCCAACCTAGGAAATGCAAACCTTATCTTAGCCCAGTGCTGCTCAGAAAGAGTGGAACTACTCTTGTTTCCTCTAGGATAAAGGTAGTGGAGGCAGGGAACGTGGGCAGGACTCTTAGCGTGCTCCCTGATGTTGAGTCTCTTTATTTTTAGGTGGCGTTGGAATCACCTGTTGGATTTTAGTCTGTAACAAAGTTGTGGCCATTGTGCTTCACCCTTTCAGCTGAAGAAAATGAACACATCGCTGATATTTTTCAAGATGAATTTTCACTCAGGTTCACAGCCTGACTTACACTGTTTTATTGTTTTTTGTTTGTTTGTTTGTTTGTTTGTTTGAAGAAACAAAAGAGCACAGGTTAGTTCTTTTGTTGAACCTGCTTGTTCTTGGACTTTACGTGAGATTCTTATAAGAATTACGATTTGTATACTTGTCATTGAGCCAGAGAGGCCTGTGCCTGTGTACTGGGCAGCATAGTAGCAGGTTTGTGGTGATAAATATGTGACATTATGGCATCTTCATGTTGTTACTCATGATTTGCACTCGGCATATTTTAAAGGTCATGTTGCCAATTGGAAAGTGAAAATTTTTTCAAATAACTTAAGTACTTAAAGACTTCATACTATTTTTAACCCAGATTAGAAAGCAGTTTAATATCACTACTAGAATTTGAACACTTGTTTTTAATCTCATGCAGTACTACTGAAAGAACAACACTAACTGACATTGCCTGTATTTTCTTCTGTTTAAAGTGTCACTTGTTGAGCAGGTCTTTGTGGAGTATTATCTACTTATTTGAAGCTGTTAATTTTTAATTTCCAGGTTTTGTAAATGTATTCATGATACCATAATGCATTGTTTTGTGCTTGAATTGTGTTTTGTACTTTAAGCATTTAAAATGATGTGTATTTTATAAGGATTTAATATTTATGCTCCATAGAATGGAACACAGTTAAAAAACAAAGTAGGAAGCCTGATTAAATTAATTTAAATGGATACATGTTTGGCCCATAAAGTATAATTTTCCTAAATATTTTTTAAAACATCTTTTTCCTAATTAGAATCTTTGCAAGTGCCTGTATGACTTCCTTCATTACAGCCACTTATTTGCTATGACCAACCTGTAACTGACAAGTGGCAGAGGGCTGTAGTCATTAGCTAAGTGGGCCACAGCACCGAAGAGCTAGATTCCACCACTAGTTTTGAAAAGACCTTGTGTTCCTTAATGATCCAGTAAGGAGCTCATTATGATTTCTGCTAATTGTACCATGAAAGGGCGAAGTGCTGTGTTACTTTAGTTTATCGTGACCAGAGTGGGTTTCAGGTTCCCCTGATCATTCACTTACCCAGCATCAAGTTGATGTGGCCTTAAGAAAGGACACAGAACAAGGAACACAGCTGTATTTCTAGCAGACAGCACCGTGAGGACTCCGACACCAGCTTCCACTGTGTCAGTCACCACACAGGGTACGTTCTGGCCACCAGGATGAGAAGCCAACCTGAGGGGGAGATGGTAGCAGCACAGGAAGCTGCAGGGTCTAGGGTCCCTTAAGAGGCCCCAGTCTGGTGTCCATTTGTAGGGAGCTGCAAGCGTCAAGGACGGTTTACACAGTCAACAGCGAGGCGGCCAGGCGCACATGCCCAGGGCCGTCCTTGGAACACTAATCCGTATATAGTCCCCCTGACAGTATTTCAAATGAAATATTTATCTCCTAAGGATATATTCTTTCAGTTAATACTGCAATTTTGACAAGTCTCACTGAGGCTAGAGGAAAAGATTTACAGTTCACAGCTGTTAATGCTTTCCACATAATAGTTAATGAAGATTAAATAGGGGAAATTTAAATGTTTGTCATTTCACATCATTGTGGTTTTTCAAAAACTATTTGTTTTTAAATAGATAAATATGGTACTGCCCTGGCTGGTGTTGCTCAGTGGTTAGAGCGTCGGCCCGTGGACCTAAGGTCATGGGTTCACTTCCCTTCCACTCTCTCTAAAAATCAATGGAAAAATATCCTCGGGTGAGGGTTAACGATAAACAAATGTGGTACTGAATTTAAAAGACACAGGAACAGATACATTGAGAAGTGTATCGTGGGGACGGGAGGTGGAAGGGGTCAATGGGGAAAAGGGGACATTTGTAATACTTTCAACAATAAATAAAAAAATATATACAAAAAATAACCCTTTTTTTCACCTAATTGCGTCACCTAATTTTCTGGTTTTCCACTATTACCAGTTTCTTATGATTCTTCCAATGATTCCATACATTTATGAATATTGATGTGTGCTTTTAAAATAAAATTTTAAAATTATTAAAGTAGTACCTAAAAAAGAACTGTTCGCTGCTTTTAAAAAAAATCCCACTTGGAAAGTACAGAAAAGGAGAGAGGAAACAAAATCTCCTGATTCCACAGAACGGGGATTACTGGCATTAACATTTGTGTATTTATGGATAGCTATAGGTTTGTGTTTCTATTAAAAAATGCTGGGTATTGTTTCTAGCTTTAGATGAAAAGACACACCTGTTTGATTTAAAATATCTAAAGCTCTCTTCATGCCAATTGTATTTGCTGTATACTTATGGTAAATCAAGCAGGGAAATCTTTTTATATACAAATCATTTTCGTTTAGAGTTAATATAACACTTCAGTTGCCGGCATAAGTGGGTGAAATGCTAGTCAAACTAGTGTTCTCTCCCTGACCTGACCAGGCTCCTGGCGTCTCATGATTTTTCTTACCAGAACATCAGACCGGAATGTATTAGAATATCAATTTTATTTAAATAATTATGTTTGGTTTTTCTTCTGTAGGTGAAGGTGACTGAACAGAATTCACCACAGTTGCTTTAGAATCTCCAAAAGCATTGCTGGCGGAGGCCTGGCCAGGGGGTGGCTGATGCATCTTACTTTTCCAAGTCTCCTCAGACCCTTCAGTAGCAGTACTTGCTTGGTCATTTTTAAAGACACAGCCCGATCCAAAGAGTTCCTCCATCAGACTGCTTTTCTTATCTCTGAAAGTTGCATCTTTTGCTCTCGTTTTGGAAGACTTACCAAAAGAGGGCTCATAGCCGCCCACAGGGTGCCGGGGCTTCAGGTCCGGCCGTTTGCCTGTGCTGTGGTTGCATCTCCAGGGCCCAGGGTTGGCTGGCCCGCCCGAAGCGGGAAGCCCATTATGCAGATTTTTAGTCGCTTCTGTGAACGAGTAATGCTTTCTTTGTCTGAGGGGTGTTTTGGTATTTAGAGCGGCAGTTTTATTCAGGACCTCGTTCGTGTCATTTATTTGTACACTTTTTTTAAGCTTTTCTTTTGCTGCGCCATCTTCCCGCTGACCTTCCTGTTCAGGGCGAGTGACTTGAATTCTTTTTGGCGGCAGTTCCTGCTCTTTTTCTACAGTGGGTTTCTTCTCTTGATCTGCCTTTTTGTCTCTCTGTCGTCCAGTGTTCTCCAGAGTTGCTCGTACTTTCAAATGTTCCTCTTCCTTTGATAAATCTGTATCAGAAAAAGAGTCAATTTGGCAACCTTCAAAATGAATGGTCTTTTATTTCAAGAAGGCATGCATGTTTGCCACACTTGCACCTCCTGACAAGCACATTAAAGAACTAAAAGCTGCCAATAAGTTACTACTAGTTCAAACACCAATAGCTGGAGGTGGTGCCAGTTAAAACAAGGATATTTTTACCCACCCAACTGGGAAGTAATTTCCAGACCCAGAGAGAATATGGGGAAATGGGAACTTTTGTTCCCAGTTGGGGTGTGTAAATTGGTATAGCTTTATTTGGGTAGAATTGAGCAGTATCGATCCACAATTTTAAGTGAACATATTAGCCTCGACAACTTTACTTCTAGGACCAAACCCTACAAAAATACACAACGATACGTCATATAAGGATGTCACTGAGCATGGGTAAGTAACAGCGAAACGTCCTAAATGCCTGTTGAGGTCATGGTTAAATAAACAGTGGCACGTGCAGCCTGCGGAGCTCGGGCATTTGTGATGAGGTGGATGAACGTGCCCTGACGGAAGCTCTCTCAGCATGGCGTCAGTGCCACAGCCAGGTGAAGAGGGGCTGTCCATTCCTTGCCCTCGCCCAGGCAGCCAGAAGCCCTGAGCTCAGCCTTCCCCTCTTCAGAGGAAAGACCTGTTGCAGGCATAGTCACGCAGGATCCCGCAGCAACGGCCGACGTACTGATCAGACGAGGCCATCGTTTAAAAGTCAGAATAGCCCGTCGTTGAGGGGGAGAGGGGACAGTGCTGGACATGAAAGAGCTGGAAAATTTTCTCACATATTTCACACCTTCTGAAATAAAATCATTTATACTCCAAAATAATAAGAGAGGAATTCTAGCAAGAGAAGAAATATGTTTCAAGAGTTAGTGGTGAGTCCTAGCCGGTTTGGCTCAGTGGTTAGAGCGTCGGCCCCAGGACTGAAGGGTCCCAGGTCCGATTCTGGCCAAGGGCACATACCTCGGTTGCAAGCTCCCTGGTAGGGGCGCTAGCTGGAGGTAGCCAATCGATGTGTCTCTCTCACATCGATGTTTCTCTCTTTCTCCCACTCTCTCTGAAAAGCAATAGAAAAAATATCCTTGGATGACGATTTAAAAAAAAGAATTAGTGGTGATCAAAGAAGCCAGCAAGATGTATAGTTAATTCTAAATAATATTACACCCAAGAATACTTAATGCAAATATTAAAATTTATTAACAGCTGAAATTGCTTATTTCCCACCTCCACTCCCCCCAACCCTAGTCTGAGCCACCTTTGTCTCTTGCCTGGGGCATGGCACTGGGCTCCCGCCTGGCCTGCTTGCCCCTGCCCTTCCTGCACAGCAGTCAGTAGAGGCATTGATCGGCTGCCTCCTGCATGCCCCGCACTGGGGATCGAGCCCGAGATCCCCGGCACGTGCCCTGACCCGGAGTTGAACTGCCATCTCTTGGATCATAGGTCAATGCTCAACTGCTAAGCCATGCTGGCCAGGCATATATGTCTTTTATACACAGACATACAGTAATTCACAACTTAAAAAAATTAAATAAAAGTTGAAAAAGCTTAAAAGTTGTTAAATTACCTTCATATTTTCTCTTGGAATCCTCTTGGCTTGGGAGTTTACTGACATAGTGGGGAGTTACAGGGACTACTTCAGGTGATTTTTCTTTATGACCAGTGTTTCCTGTTGTGTTTTTATCCTGTAACTCAGAAAAGCAGCAAAAACTTATCTTTTGGGTACAGATAATTTTAAATTGTATTTAATTCAATGAAAACAATACTTTTTGGATCAATCAAGTGACTATAGCCTATTTTTGTAAAGGTATGTTAATTAGATGTTGCAAGATTTCAAATTTGCTGTACCTTAGTCGCTTCCGGTTTTTGTGTTCCCTGGTGTCTGATGCTTGTTAATGAAACACTTTTCCTGTCTGTTTGTACTGCTTTTGTTGAAGAAACTACAGAACAAGTACATTATATATAAGAAACGTATCTCACATTTGGAAGCAATATTGATTTTAAGTATAAAAATGACATTTTGCAACTTAAGTACACTAGATATTTTCCAAAACTTTTCAATATGTATATAACATATTCCGCTATCACCTTTCCCCTGCCATTTCACTTGTTTAGTATTATTTTGGGCCACGAAGGTTCTGGGTGTCCCAGTGGTCGAGTCCAAAGCCAGCGGGCATTCGCGTGGGTCTGCGCTGCTCTTGGGGGACCGGCTGTCCCTGCTTGCAGACGAGCCTCAGAGCTTAGACACGCAGCTGTGAGCGCGAGCCCTGCCACCCCGTGGCGCCCTGCTGACCAGCGGTTAGAAGGCCCAGGCTAGGGGGCAAACCCGAAACCCAGACGCCCCTTCCCTGGAGAGGCATCCGTTTCAGTGACGCCACGGCTGATTTCGTCATTACTCTGCTGCCTGTTGTTCTGGATTGTAAACCAGGGGCAAACCAAGGAAGGCAGGGACATTTGCGGTGGTTGCCTTTAAAAGTAAACACCGTTCCTGCCACTGAACAGGCGAGCGTTCCTGTTGTGCCTCTTCTGAGCAGAGTGCCACGCTGGGGCTCTTGGGGGGCGGGAAGCGAGTACATCTTGCCCTGGAGGAGGAAACAGGTCAGGAGCGGGAAGCACAGACTAAGGAAAGCGGCAGCGTGGTGGCCCGCAAAACCATGCTGGGCAAAAGCACGGGCGCAAGGAGCAGCACTCAGGATCCACCTGCGTGAGGTCCCGGGACACGCAAACTACGCCGCTCTGACGGGCTCGGCCGTCGCCTCAGGCCAGGGACGGGGCACTGCTGGGCGCCCAGTGGGCACAGGGGCTTCCCCGGGAGGGGGCAGGTTCCACGTCCTGACTCGGCGGTGGTTACATGTGAATAGATATCCATTTGTCAAAACCCACTGCGCTGCGCTCTTAGGACGGATGCACTTTAGTGAGGAAAACTGTACCTAAATAAAGTTGATTTTTACTTATTTAATTTTATGTATTTATTTAAACAATTTCTTATTGATTTTTAGAGAGAAAGGAAGGGAGAGAGAGAGAAACATCGATGTGTCAGCGGAACGTGGATTGGCTGCCTCCTGCACACCTCCTACCAGGAATGGAGCCCACCACCAGGGCACGTGTCCTGATCGGGAGTGGAGCCAGCACCCTTTGGGGGCCTGGGAAGATGCCCAACCAACAGAGCCACACCAGCCAGGGTTAAAGTTGATTTAAAAAAAAAAATTTTTTTAATGAGAGAGAGAGAGAAACATGGATTTGTTGCTCCACTTATCTATGCATCATTGGTTGATTCTTGTATGTGCCCTGACCAGGGATCGAACCCATAACCTTGGCATATTCGGAAGATGCTCTGATCAACTGAGCTGCCTGGTCAGGGCTACAGTTGATTTTTAAATCCACACTAGATATTCTTAGAAAGTTTAGCATTTGGCGGCCGCTTTGCCTCGAGCTGAGAAGTCCCCCTTTCCTTCGACCCAAAGCAACGCGCAGGACTGAGTGACGTGGGAAGACGGGAACATGTTTCTACTCGTTTATAGCATTTCAGCCATAGTGAGGTCCGTTATTCTTCCAGAGTTACAAGTGTGTTTCATTTGGTGACATAAGTTAGGAAAACCTCACTAGATACTTAAGAACAGATTTTGAGAAAAAAAATAGTTAAAACGTACCTTGTGGATCCTCTTCTTTGTCATGTAGAGTTTTTAGTAGCCGGTTACTATAGATGTTTTTAATGTCGAGCTCCCGGTCCTTCTCCTAGAGAGAGCCAAAAACCAGCTTTTCTGTAAGTATTTGCTGTTAGCAACCTCGATTTCTTCTAAAAAACAAATTGAGTTCAATATTCTTTGGGTTTTTTTGTTTTTTTTTAGGGCAGTGTCTCTCTTTTATTTTTAATTTTTAAATTTTTATTGATTTTAGAGAGGGAGAAAAGGGGAGAGAAACATTGATGTGAGACAGATACATCAATTGGCTGCCTCTGTGTGCGCCCTGACCAGGGGTTGAACCCGCAACCTAGATATGTGCCCTGACCAGGAACTGAACCGGCGACTTTTAGGTGTACTAGACAATGCTCCAACCAACCGAGCCACACCTGTGAGGGCAAGTTCAGTATTCTTTGAATAAAATCTGTAATTCTAGCAGAAATAGAAATAGGCCATATCATTAATACCATTCCTGACATAAAAAAGTATTTTTAACAGAGTGACAAACTATTGTAATGGGGACAATGTTTTTGAAAACTTCCAGGCCAGCTTCTTTCCCTTTTTCCTGTCCCCTGACATTTCTTATTCTTTTGCATAGTACAATATAGCGGCCACTAAAATTACTCTAAATATTTTAATGTTATAAGTTTTAAATTTAAAAACTTGCCCAGCCGGGCGTGGCTCAGCGGTTGAGCATCGACCTAGGATCCAGGAGATCGAGGTTCAATTCCTGGTCAGGGCACATGCCCAGGTTGTGGGCTTGATCCCCAGTCGGGGGCGTGCAGGAGGCAGCCGATCAATGACGACTCTCTCATCACTGATGTTCCTATCTCTCTCTCCCTTCCTCTCTCTGAAATCAATAAAGATATATATATAAAAAAAATTTAAAAAACTTTGGGTTCCATTAAAATGTTAACAGAATACAATAATACTATCTTATGTGATGAAATAAAAATAGTAAGAAGTCCTACCAATGAACAGAATAGAGTTTTACTTTTTCCAATTAAGTACACATTCACCAGGCTGCTAACACATCGTAATTTAAGGTCCTCCATCTGTTCATATGGTTGCAGGGGAAAAAGTTAATTTGAGAAACCTATTCCTGAAGTTAAATAATTTAAAGATATAATAGGCATAAATAGCTCAGACAATTTGGGAAGCAGAATTTCACACATTTTGTTACATTCTGCTTTAAAAGAAGTACCTTAAGTTTTTGTTGAAGGTGTCTGACTTCTGTTTGCAGAGTCTTCCTAGCTGTTTGGGCAGCCAAAGTCTTCTGGTTCTCGACGGCCAACTGCCGGTTGAAGGCTTTATTGTTCAACCTGAGTTGCTTCTCCAGGTTCTAAAAACAGTATATGTTCCAACTATTCTGTAACCAGTGTAGTTTTATTAAAACTTCTACTTTAACGGAACTAATTACATTTATGAGAAGTGCAAATTTAAAAAATATTTATTTTTAAAAATTATTTTTAAAATTGACTTTTTAGAGAGAGAAGAAGGGAGAGGGAGAAGGAAAGAGAGAAACATCAATGTGTGTGAAGATCAATCGGCTGCCTCTTGCATGCCTCCTACCAGGGATTGAGCCCAAAACCTCAGCATGTGCCCTGACCAGGAACTGAACCAGCAACCCTTCAACCCGTTGGTGCATGGGACAATGCCCAGCCAAATGAGCTACACCAGTGAGGGCAAGAGGTGCAAATTTTATTTTTTTTAATCCTTACCCGAGGATATTTTTTCCCATTGCTTTTCAGAGAGAGTGGAAGGGAGAGAGAGAGATACATCGATGTGAAAGAGACACATCGGTTGGTCGCCTCCTGCACACGTGCCCTGACTGAGGCCAGGGATCGAGCCTGCAACCGAGGTATGTGCTCTTGGCCCGAATCGGACCCAGGACCCTTCAATCTACAGGCCAATGCTCTAGCCACTGAGCCAAACTGGCCAGGGCAAGAAGTACCATTTTTTTTTTTAATATATCTTTATTGATTTTAGGGAGAGAGAGACATGAATGATGAGAGAGTCATTGATCGGCTGCCCCCTGCCCACCCCCTATGGGGGATGGAGCCTGCAACCTGGGCATGTGCCCTGACTGGGAATTGAACCCATCTCCTGGTTCATAGGTCGATGCTCAACCACTGAACCATGCCACCTGGGCAGAAGTATACATTTTTAATATAATTTTAGTGATGGCTTTTATAGGGGACATACAGTAGAATTAAAATAAGACCACAAATATCAAAATCCCAGGTCACGACTCTAGAGAATAAATATCATGTTTTGAACCTGTTTTTTATATTCTAGAATTTGATAAAAAAGTTTTTTGAACAGGTCCTGAAAATCAATAATTGTAATGACTGTCACACTTTAAACCTAAGCAGTTCTGCTGATCCGAAGTATTCTTCTAACTTGGCATCGTGTACAGTAAGTGCTCACCTACCGGGTCAATAGGTTCTTGGAAACTGACTTTCAGTGAACAGTGTAGAACAAAACCAATGGATATAAGTTAGAGTTAAGGTCCTATGGCCTATTTCTGTCATAAAAACCTCACCAAACCTCTAAACAAAGACCTAAAACATTCTAATATTAAACACTGAAATAAAGGTGACTCTACAGACATTTAAGAAAGGTGACTAAAAACAAGCTAATTCTTTTCCAGCCGCTGATTCCAGTTCAGGGTCATGGGTGGTGGAGCCTCTCCCGGCAGCTTGGGGTGCCAGGCAGGACCCACCCTGGACAGGCCACCTCTTCCGCACAGGGCACACTCCCACTCCCACTCCCACTGATTCCCCTCGTGTGCACATCTTTGGGATGTGGGATGAAACCAGAGTCCCCAGAGAAAACCCACGCAGCCATGGGGAGAAAATGACCTCCTCAGAGAGTGGCCCCGGCCAGGAATCGGTGTTTTCTTCCTAATGTTATAACGAAACGACATTGAACGAAATAACGTTATTGGAGGACTTGCTGTATTCCTTAAAAATCTTCCCAGCCTCTTTCTAAAGGGTTGTCCAGCATCAGTGCAGACCATCGTGGACTGCGGTCCTGGTAACGGGGACTCAGGGCCCCTCGCACACACTGGTCAGCACAATCGCCATCTACACGCAGGGCTCGCTGCGGCACGGTCACCTTCTCTCTGGAATGAACTGTTTCACTGGAGGACTGTTTGGTCTGGACTTTGACGGAGGCTTTCTTCCGCCCCTCCCCGTAAAGTATGGTTTCCCCCATTAAAATATTAATACCTTCTCATTAAAGGAAAGTGGGAAATACGGTAAGTTATAAGGATGAAACAATCACTAAAACCCCACTCCCTAAAATAGTAACATTAAAAAATACATACATGTTTTGGCCCACAAACATTTTCCCCCAACAAAATGCCCTACAACTAGATGGAATTTCCCTCATAACCAGTGCTTCTGATGAGAAATTACTCAATTCTTGAATTCTTGTTTTGTTCATCGATATAAAAATACGTATATGTAAAGATATGTAGATGAGATAGAGATACATTTACTTTTGCATGACAGACACATGCTAAGATGGGCCCAGTGCTACCTAAAAGGCCACATCAGAGAACTCTGGTGTCCTGCTTGCAGGAGTGGAGCCAGGGTGCCCATTATTTTCTGGAGCTCGCATATCCATTTTTGGTGAGAAAATTCTCTTTGAAAATAGTGGAGGATTTTACCAAAGAAGAAATATCTGAGATTTAAAAAGTGGGTTGAAATGAATTGATATTTTCTAATTATTTCAAGATCATAGGAGATACTTGTCTCTCACCCACACACATTAAGGAATTAAACAGTAAATTATACGTTTATGTCTAAAGAGACCAAAAACTATCTGACATAAAATAGAATTCTCAATATAATCAAGGTGTTCTCCCAAATCATCCCTTAACTGGACTCCCCAGGCCTTGGACAACCATGCATCGTTAAGGAAAAGCAATCCATTCATTGCTTCAAGTAGTTTCACTCCTTTTCCCTCTCTGTTCCCAGGAGTACTATCTGGGAAATTTTTCTATTTCTAAAATACCAAAAATGTATGTTGCAGTGACTGGGCAAACTGATGAGGGAGAGTGCAGGGCAAGGGACCGAAGAGACACGCTGTGAGGTTTTTAGGGAAGTAGCCTTTTAATAAAGGGTTTGAAGCAGAGGGTTGGTTTCTAAGACAGGCTGCACACAACACAACACAACACAACACAACACAACACAGCACAGCACAGCACAGCACAGCACAGCACAGCACAACCCAACCCAACCCAACCCAACCCAACCCAACCCAACCTTTTCAGCACGTAAAAAATCCCCCCTAACAAGGGAATGGCCATTTTCATATAAAGAGCCTAGTGCTCACTCACTGTAACAGAAGGGACATTTCAGTCTTTCCTTCGAGCCTCCCCTCCCCTCCCCTGCCCTGCCCCCTGCCCAGCAGTGTGCCGCCCACCCCGCCCGCAGAGCCAGGCACTTGGCTGTGCTTCCTCACGCAGGGGCAGAGGCGCCTGTGTGCCCTCGTATTAACCTGGAACCTTAACTCTTCTAGGCCTCTGACATACAGACCTGTATTTGTTTGTCATTTGCCTCCATTTTTGTCGTCAGAGTAGCCAGTCTCTGGGTAAGTTCCTCCCTCTCTGCGAGACTTCTGTCTTCAGAAAGTGTCTGCAGAGCCTGCAAGGCATCTTTGGTCTTCAGCAATTCACTGTCGGTTTCTCTAAGTTTCCTAGATACAGTTCTTTCCTTTTCTTTGGATTTCCTAAGTAGCTGCCTTAAATTTTTAACTTCATTCTGATGCTTAGCCACAATCTGAGGAACATTATTTTGAGAAATCTCATATCTTCCTATAGCTTTCAAGTGCCTAATCTGAAGTTGTTTCAAAAACTGGTTTTCCATGACCGTGGCCTCCAATTTACGATGTATATCAGTTAGCTCATTTTTTAGTTCTTTAATCTTATGAAACCTTGCTGAGAGTACGCGCTGAGTCAGGGCATCTCTCCTCTGGGTAATCATATTGATTTTAGGATTTAAAAATGATGTGTTCCACTTGTGCTTTTTTTCAGCTGAGATTTCCTTCTGGCCTGTTAAGCAGATAATCCAATTTGTTACTAGTTATATATAGCTATAGGTATGCAGATACACAGATATGAATGCATGTAGTATCCCCCCTCTCCTGCACAGATGTACATACTCGTGAAAGCTGGAAGTGGAAAGAACCAACACTGAATGAATAGCCATGCTTGGCCAGGCACTTCATACAGAGATCTCTCATTTAATTCAATTCTTTAGGGTCAGTAGTAGTCTGTTTTATAGCTAGATGTTTTAAGTCATTTCTCCAAGGTTACATAACCATGAAGTGACATAGTGGCTTGAAAGCCAGGTTTTCTTTGACTCTGAAACCTGTACTTATTTCTTTTATAAAGCGAAACTAAAATTCATGATACAGGGTAACATTTATTAAGTGCATATCATGTGTTAGATATTGAACTGAATGCTTTATATAGATGATCTAAGGCAGACCTTCTAATAATATGTTATGAGGTAATTAGAGTGTAACATTAGAGCCCAATGTTAAATATGAAGATCTCATATATTCAAAAAGATCCTTTAAAAACCATTTTACTGCTTAGAGTATATGTAGAGATACACCATTTCTCAATAAATCCAACAAAGAGCATTTTCCCTCCATTTCTTTGGCTGGGCATTAAATGAGGTAGTTAAGGGCTTGTGTTCATTCAGGGGTTTGTTTTAAACAAAGTGTTTCTAATATTGTTATCCCATTTTAAAGATGAGCAGACGGGTGCTCAGCAGCGTCAGTTACCAGTGAGCACACAGCTAGTAAATGGGGAGACGGAGCCCAGGTCTGTGTGCCTGCACCACTGTCCCCATCCGTATATATGCCTTTGTATGATACATATGTGTGCATCTGTGTGCACCTCTGTATGTAAATGTGTGTGCGTGAGTACATATCAGTGCATCTATATTCAGACAGAGAGATTGAACCTGGACCCTAGAACCTACAATCTCCGGTTCTCATCCTTGAGAGAGAAGGGAACGCCACGGCCCAGGTCACTGGAGTTGTGCCCTTAGGCTCCTGACCAAGTGTGGACACATCCTCCGAGATGTGGCTTAGTATGCTTGGCATGGGAAAGGCGATTCTGCGTGCGACGGAAACAATGAGCCAAAAGAAACAGAGGGCGATGCTTTCTGGGGCTGCAGCATTTGAGCCTTGGCTGGGAAAGACCACGTGGATGTGACCACCATCACAGTATCTGTAGCACATCAATAATTGATGAACTGTCTTTACAACTGTGCCTCCCATGGGATTTATTTTCCTGCTGGTAGCAACTGAGTAGAGGCTATGGTTGAGTATTGAGTGTTTTGGAATCAGCTTTGGAGTACATTGGAAACTGGGGAGCAGAGCAGGCCAGACTCTGTGACACCTATGAGGCCAGTGAATAGGTGCCTGTGGTTGTGTCGAGGCCACTTGAACAGCCTGGGAACTGGCTAGGGGAGCCCTAGACCCAGGTTGCGTGGATCAGGCTGGGTTAAAACATGGGTAGGCAGCGGCTGTCACATTCTACGCCATGCCCAGCATGACTGAACTTGACCTCCAACTTGTAATGTCTTCCAGCTCTTGGGTGACATTACCCTGGACAAGACAGGGAGTTCCCTGAGACTAGAAGAGTGAAGGGCGGTGGGTCGTGTAGGCAGTGAGGCTTGTGTCCCTGTCTGAAGTGACTGGAGCGTGGGCTGTCAGAATGAGTGGGTGCCTGGAGACTAACCCCACAGCCCTGGGAGCACTGGCCAGGCCGCAGGTGGGATGCGCTCAGATGGCACGGGTGCTTTGCAAAGAGGAGGTGTCAGCCTTTTAAAGATCACATGGGCTTGGACAAGGAACACATAAGTGATGAAAATGAAGGAGCAGAGGCCCTTCCCCAAGTGTTCTTGTCTGTGTAAGGTCCTCCATTTGCCCTCCATTCCCCAAACACACCTGAGATTAAATTTCTAGTTTACCCTACTGGGTGGGTCCAAGAAGACAAGCCAGTTTGCTTCAGAAAGGTAAATGTACCACCTGGCATTTGAGTGGTCGGGAACAAACTCATATTACATACATCAGGCACACTTATGTAACTATAAGGCTTACAGAAAATTAAAGTGGGTTTAGTCCTTAATGGTTTTATGTCTCATTACCCTAACCTACACACAATAAGGGCAAAACTTACCATTTCTATCCCATTTCCACACAATTAAGACAGATTTAGCTCAATGATTAAACTACTCTTATGATACTTAATTTTAAACCACTGAGCTAAAAACACTCAAATTAAGTTCACTCACCAAAAACACGTTCCGTTAAATTCACAGTTAACCGAAAGGCACTCCTCACGTAAGGCAGCGTGCTCTCCGGAGAGCTCTAAGGATGTGCACCGCGCTCACACTTGGCCGCACCAGCATCCTCCTTCCCAGGGTCACCCTCGGCCCCAGCCCCCCGTTTACAGAGCTGTTGTCCCCCTAGCCATGCTGTTTCCTTCCGCTGTCCTCCTGGCCTCACCTAGTCCCCTCTCCTGGTCTTTTCCTCTGGGGCTTCAGAGTCTTCTCAAGGCCTCCCGCGCCCTCGGCCTGGTTCTGCTGCTTATCCAGAGCCAACGCCCACTCCTGCGGGCCGGCCCTGCAGCAGGCTCGCTCCCTCTTCCAGGCGACACTGGTTTCACCTCCACAGGCATGCCCTCTTCCGCCAAGGACCAGGGTAGGAAGAGGGTCCGGGGGTGGGCCCTTCCCTTTCTGTTCTCCACAGTTCCTGGTGTCTGTCTGTCGGAGAGGGGTCTTCAGCGTGACCCTAGGTCTTCCATCTACACCCGACTACAGACAACGCCTGACTGCAGACACCAGGGCAAAGGCGTCCCGGCGATGGGATGCAGTAAAATAACTTCCTTTTCGGTACACCAACTTTTTGAATGACTATCACACATTTTGGCGTTGTATTAATGAAACACATCGAAGAAGGGTATACAGGTTGGGCAAAAGTGGCTACATTTGTGAATGTGTGAAACAGTTTATTCCTGTATTATTATTTATTAATTACTGTGTTATTTTCCATATGAACAACCTAAACCTACTTTTGCCCCGCCCTGTATAATTGAAAGAGCACTGGAAGTATTTTCTACAAAAGGAGATATAACCATAAATTAATTTGTAGAGAGATATTGCTTGCTATTATTTACACTGACTTAGGTAAATCTCCCAAACTTGACCGAAGCAAGCATCCTGTCAGACTGGAGTCCTCCTTTCATCCACATGATCTTTCTCTGTGAAGGATTTTCCTGCCGTAGCATTTGCTTTTCTAAGCTGGGACCTGAACATGATCTCAGCTGTCGCTGCACTTTAGAGAATTCCAGGTCCCCTCTGGCAGTCCCTAACCCAGGGTCCCAGCCCCCGGGTCAGTCAGCTACCGCCAGCATGGGGGCAGTGAGCGGGCACTGACTCCCCCTGGGAAGGGGCCGCGCCGGCTTTGGATTCGAATTATATTCATTACTCGCTGCTTAAATTTCTTTGGCAAACTCTCGCAAAACATGAGCTGGAGGGAACAAGAGACTAAGAGGAGAAACTGAGGAACCCCGTCCACACTCCGTGACGAGGCCCGCTGCTCCGGCTCGGGTTCAAGCTCGCGGTGCAGCGTGCAAGGTCCGTGGGGCGGGTAACTTGTTCCAGATGCGGCGACGTTCAACTCATTCCGGAGCGTTCGCAGGGCCAGAGCGCCCGCAGAGCTCGGGGGCAGTCGGGTGACCGCGCGGACTTGGCTTGCTCTCAATTTATGAACAGGTGTCTTGCATAAGACACACAATAAACATCTGTGGAACAAATAAATGAGGGTTCAGTTTTAAAAAGTTAATTTACAATATGGTGCTCAGGCCTCAAAATACAGCTTGTCTCTTGCAGAAAGTTCTACAAGTGCCGCAGCCTCCTCACGGTCCCACGAGAGCACAGGCTCCATGTAAAACGCAGCGATCCCTTGTCATAAGGCCTTAGGGCCACGCCGTTTCTGAATTTGGGGGTTTTAGTTTTTACGGTGCATGTGTGATATTTTCCATGGTGCTTCCATCCCAGTAGGGTTGGGGACAGCACAGTTTAATCAAAAAATATTCTTATAGTGAAATAGATATGATTATTCACACTAAGTGAAATAAAGATGAGTTCAAATCAGGTTTTTGTTGCCAAGTCAGTTTTGGTGCCAAAGGTATGAAAAATGTTTGGTGTTCGGAGCTTCGCAGGTTTGATGCAGCCGAGGGGGTGGGTAACTGTAGAAGCCAAGCGCGATGCATGTTCTGCTGTGACAACCTTGTCCCAATGCCAGAGCCCCACTGTGAGAGAGGGCGCCGGGCTTTTGTCTTCTGCCCTGGGCCTTGCCAGGGGTGTGGGACTCCCACCTTCTAGAAAAGGGGCTTCGAACCTTCTGAGAATCTGCAGAAAGCTATGGTCCCTTTTCGCTAGAAGAGCTCACAAACACAAACAGAAACAATGCATAGAGTTTCATGGGGTTCACAGCATGGGTGTCAGATTAAGAATCCCTGCTGTCTAGCCAGGAAGAGGGGAACCGAAGAGTCTGGGTGACCCAGAAGTGGCACAGAGGGTCCTATTCAGGCTGGGGGTGACTGACACTGGGTAGATGAGACAGTTAGATGTGCCCCACACATACAGGCTGTTACTTTCTAGCTGTTGACTGATGGCAGTTCTCACAGTCACAGTAGAGAAGACTCCTGGCTATTTCTCACACAAGGAATATTTACAAGCCCAGAACTGCCTAAAGTGGGAGGACCCAATCACAGTCTGGGCAGGGAGGCAGGGAATGGGGAGACCAAGGCTATCGCAGGGCCAACTCCAGTCTGGGCAGTGAGGAGGTGAAGGTGTTGGTACTTCCAAAATCCACAAGGAAATGACATTATCAATGACCTTTCACCATCTCTGTTTCAAAAGATTATCTTTGCCAACATGCCTCACCGGACTTGGAGACCATCTTCTTGGGCTGTTGAGACAGGAATTTATATGTCATTGGTGATTCAAACCATAGTTCTTCAGCTGAGATGTAAGGCAAGAAGCCACTGAAATCCAGGTACTGTGGTGCTCTGTAACAAGGCCACCTGTTAACTAGAAACGAAACCAGCCTCACCGGGGGCTCACAGGGCAAGCTGTGCGAGAGGGCTGGGTGTTGCATGTTACACCTAACTTTCATTTTTAGCAAGCACCTTTTCCTGAATACAAAAGTAAATTTAAATTAAGTCATCGGGCCCTAGGCGGTTTTGCTCACTGATTAGAGCATCAGTCTGGGGACTGAAAGGTCCCGGGTTCGATTCTGACCAAGGGCATGTACCTCGGTTGCAGGCTTGGCCCAGGTTGGGGCGCATACAGGAGGCAACCAATCGGTTTGTCTCTCTCACATCGATGTCTCTCTCTCTCTCCCTTCCACTCTCTCTGAAAAGCAATGGAAAAATATCCTCGGGTGGAGAGTAAGAAAAATACTAATAAAAATAAGTCATCAGTGAAAGCAGACTAAATTCCAGGTCTTCAAGCTCTGCCCACAGCACAGCCCTGGGCTGCTGTACAAAGTCCATCCTGCTCCAGAGAATGGTAACCAGGCACAGCCCTTCGCATTTATTCTTTTTTCCATCGCTTTTCAGAGAGTGTGGAAGGGGGAGAGAGAGAGAGAGAGAGAAACACTGATGTCAGAGAAACACATCGATTGGTTGCCTCCCGGATCGAGCCTTGGCCGGGATTGAACCCGGGACCCTTCAGTCCACTGGCCGATGCTCTAACCACTGAGTAAACCGGCCAGGGCTGCATTTATTCTTAATTTCTCTACTTCCTAACTCCTTCCATAAAACTTCACTTATAACACGTTTACAGCATGGAAAAGTGATAAAACTGAGAGTGGGCCACTTCCAGGTGGGTGCATTAGTTAGTGGCGTTGCTGTGACCGGTGCGTGGTCTTGGCTGGGACAGTCTGCTCCTTACCTTTGGGCTGGGAGCGCTTAGAAGCGTAGTTCCTCTTCTCCTTCCTGTCCTTCACCACAGACTTCTCCAAACCATTTCCCTCGCGGGCTGCTGCTGAACACTCAGAGAGAAAGCCTTCCGAGTAATCGTAGTAAGAAATCAAGCTCGTGCAGGAGCACTGGGACCTGCAGTAGGCGACGCTCCCCGCCGAGGGGCTGCTCCTGCGGAGCTGGGCCACATCGGGGCCCGGGCCTGGGCCCCCGCAGCTCCCGGGCTCTGCCGACGGCCCGCTGCTTCCCAAGGCCGCGCTGGGGAAACGCTCATCGCCACGGCCTCCTGCGGTACCGGCCAGAGACATGGCGCACCTGCTCCAAGGAAGGGGTTTTAGATGACAGCGACTGACATTAAAAGGGCCTGCGCTTTATAGCACTGAACTATAATGGGTAACTGAGAATTCTGAAGTGTTTTCTGGACACATTTCAGTTCGATTTTTATATTTTTCTACATAAACTATAAGACCCCTGAGAGCAGACTTTGGTGAAATTATGTTCACAGGTAATATAAGATAAAGTTCGTATCAGGTAAAAGCAATGGCAACAGCTTATGAATGAGGGAGTTATACTCTCCCTCTCAGCCTGGCTGTCCAGTGGGATTTTTTTTGGCCTTGATCAGAACTGAAGAGAGTGACAGGACTTGCTCAGTCTGGGTGGCTGACGTGAAATACAGATACAGCGCCTGCAAAACCCAGATCTGCTTGTCCAGATGTCACACTTTTCTTTACTAATGACGAATCACATACTTTTGATATTAAAAATATAGATTAGAATGAATCTACTTGACCTGTGATTATGAGGTTTTTTATATTTTAGTTCAGGAGATTTGCCTTCCTTTTCATGTTTTACTTAGACTATCATGACATGAATATAATTTCCCTGATTATATTCTACATGGTGACAGAAGCAGCGATTCACAGAAACATGCTGATTTACGTAAGAAAATCATCCAGGGTTCAGGGACCCTTTGGAAGAAAATATACCAAGTGGAAAATTTACATTTGTTTAGCAAATAACTAACCATATTTTCAGCTATACAAACCCCAAACTTTTATAAATAATGGATCTGGAAAAAAATTTAACTAAGTTTGTCTAGTTATTATATATTTAACTCTTGAATTTGAAAATAAAAATCTTACTTGGAAACTAAACGATAGTACAGTAGACTTCAAAGAAATATACTTAAAAGATAAAAACAAAAATGAAATTTGATGGTGTGATCCTAATATCTAATCAGGGGCATATGGTGCCACACGGTCAAAAGTCTTGGTAACCTAAGGTCATGACTGAGAAACTAATTTAAAACCTACAAAGAGCCACACTTCTTTTATGTAGGGCGGATTCGATTCATATTAAGTACACTTTAAAGGAACTTAAACACAAAAGTTCTCCATTTACAGACCAGGAATGCTTTAGAGAGAACAGAAATCAGACACAAGAAGGGCCCAAAGGCATGCCCTGAACAGAGCTAACCGCTTGGAAGCCCGGGGCCCCGCGTCTCTCCATAAGGCGGCTGCATTAAGGCACAATACCCACAGCCAGAATCGCTTTTACATCTGCCTACGGACAGCACTCTGAAATAAAGGAATCCACCTCATGGAGCCTCTAAAAGGAATATTTTTTTCATTTAATACTCTCAATTCTCCTGTTTTATTAAGAAAGCAAGAGAGAAGTTAGCTACCATCAGGTCCTTCCCGACAGGAATCTAACTGCCACTCTCTCTACTCAGGTTTTTTTGCCTCTAAATCTGTTTCTCTCTGCATCTGCCTGACTCTCCAGCTGTGCCTCTTCTGATGAAATCCATCAGGCAGTTCGTAATCTCCCCACTACAGGAATCGTAGCCCAAGTCATTGTCTCAGTGATATTAGCATTATACTTAATATTTAGCTAGAGCTTTTACTTCCTACAGACTGCGTTCACATCACGTAATCCCAGCCACATGAAGGGAACAGGCTCAGGCAGGTTATGATGGTCCATAAACATGACTCTCCATGTTTTCCAGCCTCAAGGTCAGGTCTTTTTTCATTACGTATCATAATGATAAACTACACACTGGTGGCGACATTACACAATCCTAAATAAAGAACTAATCTTTCCAGAGACTGCTGCCATGTGACCGTGGCAGAAGCACAGGCAAAGCCCCAGATGCTTTATAAGAGGCCCTGACGGCCGCAATGTTCTGCAGCAGCCCTCGGAGCCTCGCCTGTCCGTGTCCCTGGGCGGCACTGCCCCACCTCCTCTGGCCCATGACCTTAGCCTCCAATTTCCTCCCCTCGCATCTTGACAAATCCTGATTGCCTGAACAATGGTTGCTAACCCACAAGAATAATTTGTTTTCGACCAGTTGTTCCTGCCATAAGCTAAACTTTGGCTGACCTCTCCTCCTCCCCCGTCTGAACGCTCCTTGCAGAAATCGCCTCTTATGGCATTGTGTGATAAAGCCCTCACTCAAGAGTGATTTTCATATTGCAGTCACAAACTGTCCCACTGCCACAATACCGGGAGACTCACAGAGTAGGTGACAGACAACTTGAAGGCTGACCACTTAGGTTTGAATGTGGGTCAGTCACTTAGTTAAGTGGTCTTGGCCATTTGTAAATGTGAATGAGAACAGCGATTTCAGAGGGTTATTACAGGGGGAAATGAGACTGTAAAACACCTAGCCCAGTACTTGTCACACAGTAAGCAATCAACACACAGTAGTCCCCCTTCTTGGAAGAGGAATTCTGGGATAACACCAGGACTGTCAAGGACGCCGCTGGTGTCTGCCTGTGAGGGATGCCACCAAGAGTCAGTCAGTTTCCCCATCAGCTATTTTACCTGGAACAGCTCCCTGAGTAATCTCATTAGACTGAAGCTCCCTGCAAATAGAGACTGTCTTGTTCCAGTTGTAGCTTCAGGCCTAGCGTGGTGCTGCCACCTAACCACTACTTATAAATACTTGAATGCTGACCACACCACCACCACCTGCTGTGTGCCAAGCACAGAGGTAGGAGCTGACATATATTAGCTTGCTTAATCACTATGACAGTGCCGAGAAATAGGCATCATTAAGCCTATTTTACAGATGGGCAAACTAAGGCTCAGAACAGTAAGTTACTTATCCAAAGTCACAGGGCTGATGAGCAGGAGCACTGAGTTTTGAATCCAGGTCTGTCTGCCTTTCAAGTTCTTTTCACTATACCATATGCTTGACCCAAAATGGACATAATTTGACCCAACTCATTTATTACTGCAACCTTACAATGTCAAACTCTGTGAAAACCTGCAATAAGCCTATGGGAACTACATGCCATTCAGCTTTCATTCTTTTACATCTATTCTAGAGTTCAAAAGCTTAGACTATATGGAACATAACCTCTTATCCCTTGATCTTTTAGATTAATCAGTATAACTCACTCTGAATTTGATGAGATAGGAACAGTGAGACTATCAACATCAGCAGGTTAGGGTGGAGTGGTGGTCTCTCCATTCCTAAATCAGAATACTGAAGTTCCAGGATGTGCCTAAATACAGCTCCTTTTTTTTTTTTTTTTTTTTTTTAAAGATTCCCTCTGAATCACAGGCCTACAAAGGGCTAAGATGAGCTTTGAGTGCCCTATACGTGATACAGTACAGAATGGCATCCTGGTCTCTCAGTTTACTAAACATTGATATAACATGGGGAAAAAGCAGCTCTCCAGAATACAATGCCTGTTAAATACCAGTTTTCTCACTGATCTGATAAAAACTGATTGATGAGTAATACTAGACCTACAACTACACTTTTAAGTTGATTCCATTGTTTTAGATGGTCTTTGTATTAATATAAACAGACTATACCTCACCATTGTTATCAGTAAAAACATACGAATTTCTGATTATGTGGTGAGTTACTGAAAAATCCAGGTTTTAGGCCAACTACCTTATTTTCTTCTTGATTAGCTGACTAATTAATTAAAAGTTCAGTCAAAGAACATTTATTTAGTGCTTGCTGGGCACAAACTTCTGCCTTCAAGGATTTGAAAATAAGCAAAGTTAGTAACCATGTAATTAACGCTTACTATAGTTAGCACACTCTTTTTGATATATGAAATTTAGGGTAGGATATAGTTCAGGTTTTGACAGCATTTCTATTTTGAACCATCAGTGTTTACAGTATAACACTGTTTAACTGCCCTTGAAGCATAATTTCACCATGTCTCTATCATTATAGGGTTTATAGCAGTTTCTTCACCTCGGAAATACAACCCAAAGAGAAAAGGGGTCCAAATACGTGGTGACGGAAGACGATTTGACTGAGGGTGGTGGGCACGCAATGCAATATACAGATCGTGTGTCACAGAAATGTACGCTTGAAACCTATATAATCTTATTAACCAATGTCACCCCAATAAATTTAATAAAACCCCACAACAAAAATACTGTTCTAAAAAACAAGTGACCCAGTTGATCATGCTTTTCTGGAACACACCAAGGAATAACTACCTGCGACAATAATAAATTTGTACAGCCTGTTCACTTAACTACAGAATTGGAAATGAGAACGTTCACGGTTGAGAAACACACCTGGGTCAATCTGAATACTACATTCAGTTGTCTTCAGTTCCGCTTTTGCAACAAGGCAGACGAAAACTGCACACATGCTAAGAGTCCGCAGTGAAGGGCGGCATCCCCGTGCTCCTTACCCGCCTCGCCCGCGGCGTGGGCTCCGGCTGTGTGTCCGAGCCGAGGTCTTCACACTGCTGTGATTATGACGTTCCCAAGGTAGTATTTTTGGACATGTTTTGGCTTCTTTTTAAGCAAAGAACATATTTCAGAAAACCTAGAATGACATTACAGAAAGCAAATGTTAAGACCTCACCAGTAAATCTGGAAACCTGGTGTAAGACAGAGGGGGAGAAAGCGGGCGTTTAGTAAGTGACGGGGAACTGCGGGCCAGGCGTCTGCCTGGGACGTGGAACAAACGTGAATCCTTGTTTCATTCCTCACAGTAAAATAAATAGAAGGGAATTAAAAAGGTAAATGTTAAAAACAAGTCTTAAAAGAAGACATGGAATGTAGTAAGAAATAAAGCCCAGAAACCACAAAGGAAACAATTAGTAAAAATGGCTGCATAAAAATGCAAAATTTCTGTATGACAAAAAGAAATCAAGTAAAAAGACACATCAGAAATGGGTAAACTATTTTCAATACATATGAAAAGAGCTTATTTCCTTGGTTTACAAAGGACTCTTATAATAACCCAATAGCACAGCGGCACAGGATATGAACACACTACCGAACACGCACGTCACAGAAACAGACAACCAAGGCACATGTAAGATGTTCAGACTTGCTCTACGTCAGTTAAATGCAAATTAAGACAATTAGATTCCAGTTTCATCTATCAGAATGGAAAAGTTAAGGAGCTGGGTGAAACCCTGTCGCTGCGACGGACGCACAGTGGCGCTGCTGCTGCAGCTGTTAAGAATCAGTGAGGTGCGTCTCCAGGCGCGGCCGCTCGAGGGCTCCCAGGCGCTCGCCTTCTAATCAGCGTCTGCACGCAGCTCATTGTTCGCCCTAATAAAAGGACTTAAAATCCCATTTTTAAGACTTGAGACTTGCTTGGCCCTAAGAAAGAATGAAGTTTTACCATTTGTGACAGCATGGATGGACATGCTGAGTGAAATAAGTCATACAGAGAAAGACAAATGCCGTATGATTTCACTTATATGTGGAACCTAAAGAACAAAGTAAACAAACAAAACCGAAGCAGACTGACAGAGACAGGGAGCAGACTGCTGGCTGCCAGAGGGCAGGGGGACTGCGACGGGGAAGGGAGTGCGAGCACAGGTTGGCAGTTACAGAACAGTCACAGGATGCACAGTACAGTGTGGGGAACAGTCAGCAATACTGTAATAACTGTGTACGGTGCCAGGTGGGTGCTGGAAATATCGGGGAGACACTTTGTAAAGTATGTGATTGTCTAACCAGTATGCCCTACACCTGAAACTAATACAAAATAGTATTAAATGTAAACTGTAATTGAAACATAAAATTTAAGGCCCATCTGGCGTCTCAGAGGCTGAGTGTTGACCTAGGATCCAGGAGATCGCAGTTCGATTCCTGGTCAGGGCACATGCCCGGGCTGCGGGCTCCATCCCCAGTAGGGGCCATGCAGGAGGCAGCCGATCAATGACTCTCTCTCATCATTGATGTTTCTATCTCTCTCTCTCCCCCTCTCTCTTCCTCTCTCTGAAATCAATAAAGATATATTTAAAAAAAAAGAAACATAAAGTTAAAAAAAAGAAAAAAAAGATTTAGGACTTGCATTTGGTAGTGTAATAGGCTGATTAATTACTACCCTACAGGATGTAACAACTTAATTTCCAGAATCTGTGAATCCCCAGACCCTGGGAACAGAACCTGTCACTTTATGTAGCAAAAGGGTCTTCGCAGAATGACTGATGGATGGATCGCAAGGTGAGATTATCCTGGATTATCCACCTGGCCCTGATGTAATCACAAACACCTTTATAAGGGGGACACAGGAGGAGTCAGAAGATGGCACTGTGATTAGGGACCCAGGTCAGAACAAGACGCTTCCCTGCTGGCTGTGCAGATGGAGGAAGGGGTCACAGGCCAGGTGCAGGCTTTTCTGTAAATTAGAGAAGGCACGGAAATGTGTTTTCCCCTGGGGCTTTCAGAAGGAACCAGACCTGCTGATATCTTAATCTTAAACTCCCAGACACTCATTCAGATGTCTGACCTCCAGAACAGTAAGAGAATACATTTGGGCTGTTTTAAGACAGAGTTTGTGGTAATTTTTTTATAGCAGCAATAGGAGACTAATGCAGGTTACCTCGAAAAACATCAAGAATCAAAATGAGACCAAAAGCAGGCTATTAAAATGTAAATGAAATGCACTATTATAAAGAGTCAAAGAAGAGGGCAAATCCAAAGGCTTTGGGGAAGTAACTTCAAGCTTCTAGAAACTGTCACCCGGACCACATCCAGGAAGAAGACCATCAACCCCGGGAGCTGCTGGGATGTCTGTGTCAGGGAAAAATTAGCAGGACCAAAGAGCAGACTCTCCGGATGGCATCCTGGATGGAGACTTAGAACAAAGCAAGAAGGCCGGCCCCTGTGCAGAGGCGTGGTGGCGGCAACGCCAGGAAGTGGAGGAAGCAGGGTAAGGAGGGGCAGGCTTGGGGAGGGCAAGGGAGTGACAAAAGGTGACAGGGAGCTGACAAGGTCAGGATATTAATTACACAGAGCAAGTAAGTTAATTAAGGAGATAATATACTTAGACTCATGGAGGCCAAGCTTCTTGGTGCCTGAAAGAGTTTTATTTACATAGAAACAGGGGAGGGTAGAAAGAGCCCTGAGGTGTCGGAGTGGAACAGGAAATATTGGGTTGGTATAGATATCTATATATCTATATAGGTATATAGATACAGAAGTCATTCTAGATTTATGTGTGTGTGCATGTATATGGAGGTATCTCTGTGTGTGTTTTTCCTGCCTCTGCTCTCTGAGAAGGCCTAGAAGAAATGACACCCCAGTAACAATGAGCACACTGAGCACCACTCCCCGCTAAAAGGAACCAGGGTTCCTCGCAGAAATGGATGATTCAGGCCTGGGGCAGGTGGAGTACAAGGTAAGGCTGGTGTGTGTGAAAGGACACAGATGCCAACTTGAAGAAGTTTGCACTGGTCCAATCTAGGACATTTGACAGAATAAATAAGGGGGCTGTGAGAGGACTACCTCTTAAATCAAATAGGAATTCAGGAGTCCATGCTCCTACGAATGAGTGAGATAGCAAGAGGAAGCTGGTCCTTACAGAAGAGTAACAACTAATAAATGTACAAGGAACAGTAGAAATAGACACTGGCTACTCGGCAACTATCAGGAGGTAGCTGAAACAGGCAGTTGTCGTCAATGGGTGCTGAAGACCAGTGAACCTAAGTTGGATAAGGGACAGGATTTGGCACAATACTAACCAAATACAAAGAGGAAGAAGGTGACCTTGTGGAGAAACCTGGCAGACACCACCACCTCAACCAGGTCATCAAGGCTCATCACCAGTGATGGGACCGGTGGACCTCATGTGCCTCTCTGTGATCAAGAAGGGCCCAGGGTCACTTCTGCGGCTTTCCTGGCAGGAGCTCAGTGGAGTTGGGTCAGGAAACGGCAGCCGGACCCAGGTTGAGGGTCTTCCCACAGAAAGAAAGGCCTCAACTCAAAGTTGAGCAGGATGGTAAACAGATAGAAAAGCCCTTCCCTCAGCTTATAAAAATAGTATTACACAGGTAAGATGATCACAGGTCTTAGGGCGTTCAGGAGCCCCATTTCAGTCATGCATCCGCTTTTGAGATTATATGTCCCAATTTTTTGCTTCATAAACTTGGTCACTCTAATATTGAAGTTTAAGAATTAATACTGATGGAGAAGAGAGGAAGTATGGTATACAAGGAAAAATGCTGGTGAGGCAAGACATCTGAGTTCTGCACAGTTCCAGCTCTGCTAGGACAGCTAGCTGTTTGTCCTTAGCTGTTTAATGCATGATATTAGCTGAACGGACTTCTAAAGTCCCATCCAGCATGAAAATCCATAAATTAAACATACCTATATCTATCAGAAATCTCAAACTTTATCTGATAACATGGAAATGTGCTATATTCAGTTTGGATGATTATAGACAACTTATGTAGGTTTTAGTTATTTAACAATTTTATGTATTTTATTTATTTTTGACAAAAAGCTGGACTTTGTTACTAGAGTGAGCATCCCAAACAAGCACCCTCAGGATTAGAAACTGTGCCTCTACTGCCACCAAGTGGTGGCAAATGCAACAGACTGTGGGCACTGAAGGAAAATGAAATGCGTTACATTTATACACGTGCACAATTTAGCTCCTAATCCCGGCCACCGCCACATTTCTTGTTCATTTTCAGTATTGGCCTAATTATTTTTACTAGAATTTCCATCCTATTTTAATAAAACTCTGCTAAAGCATTGCACATTTTATACAGGCTACACATTAGATATTCATTTCATTCACTTTCAACACATCTTTGGGTGCTTACCACGTGCCAGGATCTGTGTGAGGTGTGGGGGTGTAACGCACACAGATAGAAATGTTTTAGTTTTTGTGGCGTTCATATGTTGGTGATACTCACAGCAGTGACTGTTCTAAGTGTTTTCAAGGAAAGAGATACAACTCTGTGAGGACATATGACAGACATCTGACCTAGACAGTGACTTGGGAAGTCCTCTGACAGAAGCTTATCTGAGCTGAGATGTAAGGGTCTGTGGGAACTGAGCGAGCAGAGAAACGGAGGGGAGGGTGAAGAGCCCTGCAGACACGGAGAGAAGACAGGGCCAAGGCCTGCTGGGTGGAGGAGGCCCGCGTGGCTGGGCCCAGTGAGCAGGGCCAGCGGCTCCAGGCGGGCGTCCGGAGGTAGGTGGGGTGAGCAACTGCAGCGTCCAGGAGGGCACGTTTCTGATTCGAATCATTAACCCAAGAGCAATGGGAAGCTGCAGTGAGCGAAAGAGGGAGGCAGGGGAAGGGATGAGGGAATCAGCGCTGCGCGTAGAGAGCAGCCTGGAGAAAAGCCAGCGTAGGGGACCGCAGGAGGCTGGGTGAAGGGAGGCGGCAGCTCAGACTAAAGAGCCGGTGACGATGCACAGATATGGAAGATGAACGGGAGGCGACACCACCAGGGCTGGGTGACACACTGGATGCTGGGGTGACAGGAAGGTCAAGGAGGAATCCCAGTTACCCATGGTAGAGGTCCCAGTGGGTGGGCTGGTGGGAGATTGTTCCGACTTGGATTGTTCTGGTGCTGGGTTGGAGGTGCCTGAGAGGCCTTAAGAGGCAATGCCATTCAGCCAGCTGGACGCGGGGGCCAACTCAGGGAGGAAGGCCAAGCTGGAAGGACAACGTTGGGGGTTGGGAGCATATAGATGGTGGGCATGGGTTTGTGCCCACCATCAGAATGTAGGGGACATGGGGGAAACACAGGAAGAGACACTGAGCTTTGAGGAACTGCACTGTTAATGACCCCAGGAGAGGGGAGGGAGCCGGGGTGGTGGCAGGAGGAGCAGGAGGGTCAGAGAGGGCCAAGGGAAGACAGTTTCAAATCTCAAGGCTGCTGACAATGAGCAAGATGAGGCCTGGGAGTGTCTGATGAATGGCTTTTGTTTTAGTATAGAGATAAGGGCGGAAGGCGAGAGGCAGGAACGGATGCCCTGAACAGGGCAAGTCTTTTTTTTTTTTTTTTTAATCCTCACATGAGGATATTTTTTCCATTGTTTTTCAGAGAGAGTGGAAGGGAGGGGGAGAGAGCAACATCGATGTGAGAGAGACACATCATTTGGTTGCCTCTCAGATCAAGCCTGCAACTGAGGTATGTGCCCTTGGCTGGAATCGAACCCAGGACCCTTCCGTCCGGGGGCCGGTGCTCTAACCACTGAGCAAACTGCTAGGGCTGCACAGGGCAATTCTTTAAGTTTGCCTTTCAAAGGGCATGAGAGATTAGGTAACAACTGGAATGTGAAGGGGAATGTGGGGTCGGGGAGATTTCTTCCCCCCTTTGTGATGGGAACCTTGAGCACGTTTAAAAGCAACAGGAAAGAGCCAGCTGAGATGAACAGGTGATTGAAAAGCTGACAGTGACAGGATAGGCTTTTTGACAAGTGGGAGGAGATGACAGCTGAATTGCAGGGAGGGGTGCTTAGGACAGGAGGAAGGAAGGTGGGTACAAGCTGGTAAGGCTTGCAGACCTGGTGGCTGGAGCGCAAGGAGATTCCTGCCAGGGCTCCTCTGTGAAGTGGCAGCCTGAGGGCAGGTGGGAGATCCAGTTGGAGTGAAGTAGAGGTTGACAACCTGCTACATCCCTTAGGCCCTCTGCAAGTTGCAGCAAACTACCATGTTACGTTGGTCCTTTGGGGTTACACTCGATGGAAAAAGAGAAAGAATGGGGGTTTGATATTGGCAAGGGTACAGGTGTGGGGGGGTCATTAGCTCCGTAAGGCAGGGACCTGTCATATCCATCACCGCATCGCTCTGTGCCTGACAGACCAGAGTACGAGCGCCCGGGTACTTACTCTCAAAATGATCAGCACAGGGATGAACATTTGTCTCCATTTCAACCTGCCTCTTTTGGTACTTCTCTAAAAAACCCCCAAAAACCTAAAAAGAAAGAGTAGCGAACAAACAGCCTAATTTCCTACGTGACTTCTTTTTCTCACTGGGAAGTCCATGGGTTATCTTATCCTTCCGTACAGCCAATTTTAAAGCCCTTGCCATAGTTCTATATCCAGGGACACTGTCATATACCTAAGAAAGCTAAGGGACATCTTTCAATTTTTAGCTTGTTAATAGTCAGGTGCTCATGTAGCTTTGTCTACCTGGCTTAAAAGTTGGAATTCTCAAAATATGTACTAAAAAATTGTATTTTTTAACTATAAAATTCATATCCATTTTTTCCTAAACTGACTTACTTGAAGTAACAAAGAGGAAATAGCGTAAGACTGTTAATACTTGAGTTGGGGGTGGGGCACAAGCAAGGAGACCAATTAGAAAGCTGCTGAGATAATCAGACACCGATGGTGGTGGCCTGGACCAGGGTGGTGATAGTGGGGGTTGGTGGAAATGGTAGGATTGTGCATCTGTTCTGGTACATTCTGAAGGATGTGTTGACAGACTGGATGTGGGGAGGAAGAAAAACAGTAGTCATGGGGGACCAAGGCCGGGACAGCTGGGAGGATGGTTTCCAGGATCTGGGGTGGGTGGAGCTGTGGCAGGAGCAGGCTTGGGGGAATGCCAGGAGCTGCTCTGGGCGGCTGTGTTGGAGATGCCTTGGATGTCTAAGTAGAAGTGTGGGCAGACATCTAAGCAAAGGGTCTGAAGTTCAGGGAAGGGTCAGGGCTGGAGATATACTCTTGGGGCTCCCTGGCATTTAGATGGGGTTTGGGCCTGTGAGACTGGATGAATTCACCTAGTGAGTGGAGACAGAAAAAAATGTTCAAGGCCACGGTCAGCAGTAAAAAAACTGGTCTGAAACAAGTTACCTGTTGGCACGAGTGTGGCAACGAAGCGTTAAAGCACCTAAGGGGACACTGTGGACACAGCGCTCCGGGCGAACACAGAGCAGGCACTTCAGAGGCTCCAGAGTCCCCCGGGCTGGGGTCAGCGAGATGCCAGCGCTAAGGTCAGAAGGAAACAAAACCCAAAAAGTACAACCAAGTAGGCAGGTGCAAAATGGGAGATAGAAGAATATGCGCGAGACTCGGCGAGTCGGGGGCAGGGCAGGGGTGGCGGTGGTGAGGTCGCCCCCGTGTGACCCAGGTGACCCGAGGCGGCCCGAGGGCCTGGCCCCTCCCCAGGCCGCACCTGGGCCCGCTCCGGGCAGCCCG